AAGCTTGGGTAGATACCCCCTCCCTTTTTATGTTTCTCGCCAGTTGAGTTATTACAGAGCACAACGATATCGGGCGCCAAGGTAGTTACTATAGGTAATACACCCATTGGTAACGATAATAATAATGGAAAACTCTACAGAAGCTCAGTATATTTAGAACAGATAGCTCGAATGATACACCTGTTCTCTGCTTCATCTTCAAAGTAGTCAAGTTGGCTTTTATCCGTCGTCATTCACACTATTTGGTATTCAATTCGAACCAATAGGTTGTATGTAGGATTCTTGGAGGGAATCGAAAGGAACTGAATACCTGACCAGTGGTGACTATATTGACGTTAGACCTGCTGAATTAGGGGATATCGCATCTGGTGAACGCCTATTCCTTGTTTGATGTCTACTCTTCTCTTATGGATTCTCAAACTCCTTGATTGGACATAGGTGTGGTTCAGGACACGGTGGAAGTTACCAAAGCAGTGAGTTATTCATTGGCGTTTCAGTATGTGGTTTGGTTCCTCAATCAATTATAACCAGTAAACTTGGTTTCAGTTTCAGATAATTCACACATGGAATGAAGTGTTTCTTCTTTGCCGGCATTTCAAACGGAAAACAAAGACTCAAAGTATACGAACAAGAATATACCTGATGGCTCTATTAGTATTTGCTAAATCACCATTACAAAAGTTAATTATCGAATGAAATGTTAGTGGCCGAGCACACGTTTCTCGGCCTTTAGCCCTTTCAACACCCTTTGAAATTGGCGAGACCATACTGGAATCGTTGGTTCGTTACTTTACAACGCCTGTCAGGTCTGTAATGTGACGTTTATGCAAACGTAGCCATATTGTTAATAATACACCAGACATTATAGACCACCTCTGTCAATCCAGCAGTGTCCATATAGGAGATACTTTCCTGAAGGCAGTTGCACAGTCAAAGAACCAAAGCAAAATAAAACTGCTTTCCATCACAAAATTCAAATCCGTAGTCCGGGCGCAGATTTCAGAGTAGGAGTATCATCTCGCGAACAAGTCCCAGTTACAAGCACGCAACTGAATAGAGTCATTCCCGAAAGAGTCAGTCATTAACAATCTTTGTCTGCTATCAACAAAGAAGAGTACATTGGCTAACAAAGCCTCCTGGAGTATGACCACTATTCCTCGATGAGTTTCATAGATGCTGAAGAGCCTCCGCGATCAGAGGTATAACCTTCATGCATATATATTGCAGCCATATGCATGCATTTCCACAGTTTTGCTGTTTGGAGAAGCACAAGGCAATGTGAGCTTAAACTTTAAGCAGCTCATAGTTTTGTGCTCTTAAACGCACTTTCGGTCTTATATCACGTGATTATAGCCTCGTTATTGTGTTTTGGGAAGAGTGATCTACTCCACAGTTCCGTATTGGGTTTTAATACTTGTACTAGATACAACGGAATCACCTGTCGTCAGGTTTTGGACGTTCATTATGCTGCGATTTTCTACAAACTTCCTAAGTAAACGATGTTTAAGTACGTTTGGCTATGCTCAACTTGGTAGTCGGTCCGTTGTTAAGGTGTCTGGTCCTGATGCGACAAAGTTCGTCAATGGACTAATCACTTCAAAGATGATTCCTCATGCATCAAAGAGGTTGGCAATGACCATTGAGGAAGGCCCTGAACAGGAACTGACTCTAGGAGAGTTTGACATGTCTAAGAACTGGGGTATACTCTTGGAATCTCCCGAAACAACCAACCAGACGGTTTCGAGGTTGGGTATCTACACGATGTTTCTTAATTCGAAAGGTCGAATAATCACCGATGCATGGATCTACCCAGGTTTTAAACCATCTGAGGATGAATACATGAAACAGGATGCTGAATATTTCATTGAGACAGACTCGTCTATAATGAATCAGCTGACAATGATGTTCAAATTGCATAAATTGAGATCTAAGGTGTCGTTTGCGCCAGTTCAAGATGTAAACGTTTGGGCTTGTTACAATGACAATCAGATGGATGCACTCTACGATATTCAGCAAGAATATGTTGATTTGGAATCTACATCACTGAAAACACCGGAGGCCGCATACAAGAATGTCCAATCTTTCCAACGCAGTTCATTCTTCCAAGAATCAATCGATGATAAGATCACTGCCTTTGCATTCGATAACAGAGTACCGGATTCTGGAATTCGTCTTGTATTACCAAAGGATGTGACACCAACACAAGTTATCTCGGAGGATTACCTTCCAGAGGGCTCTGAGATAAGTGCCGATGAATTCAACACCAGAAGGGCTCTCTTTGGCGTCCCTGAAGTTCCAAGCGATATCACGCCAAACAAGTTCTTACCACTAGAGTGCAATCTGGAGTATATGGGAGGTGTAAACTTCGACAAAGGTTGCTACACAGGGCAGGAACTCACTGTCAGAACGTTCCACACCGGAGTCGTCCGTAAAAGGGTCGTTCCTGTACGCATCTTCCTTCTTCCCACAGACACTAGCGAGTTGCCCTTAGAACTCAATTCTCAAGACCCTGTGTGTGGCTGCGTTCCAAAAGGGCAATGGAATATCACATCCGACAAGGAAGAAGAGAACCAATCGTTTGTCTCCTCGCCATTCGGAGGCTCGTCAGCGAAAGCAGCACGCTCGAGGGCCAAAGCTATGCGTTCCTCTGGTACGCTCCTCTCCACGTACCACAACATCGGGTTAGCGTTGGTTCGGCTGGAAGACTTTGCCGATCCATCTACAAACTTCTTTGTTGATATTCCAGGAGCTGGAGATGGCAATAAGAACCTCCTGCTTGGAATCAAGGCGTATATCCCCTACTGGTGGCCTGAATGAGCCCAAGCCCAACCAAAAATGTGTATATAGAGAGCTTTAACGAGAAATGTGCCATGCTTATAAGATCCTGTAGGGCTACAGAAATATCTTTCGAGTCATGTGACAAAGCTTAGGGCTGCGAGTTATCTGGGACGGTTTCGCGAATGGATTCCTCTATAACATCCAAACACCAGGAACCACGACCAAACAAAAAAGCTGTCATTCTGCGCCGGGACACACCACAGTTAAGTGCAAGCCCACTCGCGGAAATTGTTGGTAGGCGACGCAGCGAGGAACTCTCACCGGTGAAAAACTCGTACCCTCTCAAAAAAACAAAAAGTTCAAAACGCACCAACATACACACAACAGTTCTCCTAAGACAATCACAGAAGTTAACCATGGCTGAGGAACAAGTTGTTGACATCCCACAAGAGGAAATTGCCCAAGAGGAATTCGAGGTCGTCTCTGAGCCAGTTGAGGTCAAGTTTGTTGAGTTGGCTACCGCCATCCCAGCTGACGTTCAACAAGCTCAAGCTGAGATCAAGTTGTTCAACAAGTGGTCTTTTGCTGAAGTTACCGTCAAGGACATCTCCTTGACCGACTACATCCAAATCACCAAGCCAACTTTCATCTCCCACACTGCCGGTCGTTACGCTTCCAAGAGATTCAGAAAGGCCCAATGTCCAATCGTTGAGCGTTTGACCAACTCTCTTATGATGAACGGTAGAAACAACGGTAAGAAGTTGAAAGCTGTCAGAATCGTCAAGCACACTTTGGAGATCATCAACGTTTTGACCGACCAAAACCCATTGCAAGTTCTCGTTGACGCCGTTGTCAACACCGGTCCAAGAGAAGATGCCACCAGAGTTGGTTCTTCCGGTACCGTCAGAAGACAAGCTGTTGATGTCTCCCCATTGAGAAGAGTCAACCAAGCTATTGCTCTCTTGACCATTGGTGCTCGTGAGGCTTCTTTCAGAAACATCAAGACTATTGCTGAGTGTTTGGCTGAGGAGTTGATCAACGCTGCTAAGGGTTCCTCCACTTCCTACGCCATCAAGAAGAAGGATGAGTTGGAGCGTGTTGCCAAGTCTAACCGTTAAGAACCTGGAAGGATGCAGAACAGTTTGGGGGAGGAGTGTTTTCATACGTTTGTCACTATAGGAGTTTCAACCACTGGAAATATATGTTTAATGTATTTTGAATCTGTACACCGAGTTTACGTAGCTGATATCCTGTACCTGTTAGGCCCTGGAGAGCTTGTCCAGGTGCCTTGAGCGTCCTTTCACAGTGATGTATTTGCTGTGTATTTGCTCTCCACTATAAAAAAATGGAAACATCCTTACATTTTCACAATTTCTGGGGCAACCACGAGCCAGAACTACATATACAAAGCAACACATCTTGAATTATTTTCAAAGAATCACTGCTTCAATCACACTACAGCATATATGATGAAAGAATACAGCTCTAGTATCTGGCGTTCTTAGCGTTCCCAGATTCTGTTTCGTTGTTGAGATATAAGCAAATTTATGCGGTTTTTCATGATCATACCATACAAACTATGAGTTGTTATACCTCAGGCTACATTGAGGATCGCATGCTCATACTTTGTATGGTATTTATTTGGAGTGCTAGCTACATACTCGTGCACTTCAGGAAAAATTTAGAGACCGGCCTGCTACTTTAATCAGTATCATTCTAATGCCACTGTTCATTCACCCAGACACCCACGCCAAATACTCAGACACCCAGACACCCAGACACCCACGACGCAGCGAAAGGGACAAACCAATTAGGGTTTGGCAACCAGGCAGCGTGTGGGGAAAATGTCCTGACTTTGCCGTCGTTAAACTTGTTGGGCGGTCATCTCATCAAGACATTCAGACTTACACGCAGCAACGTATAAATATGTGGACAAACCTCCTCTTCGCCCATGCCTTGAGGCCCTCCTTTGGGACATGGAATTGTAAGCCAACCGCAGCACACTATGCCCTCCATTGCACAAGCTGGTGATCTGCCAAAGTTGAAAGTTCCAGAGCTCTCTGCGACGCTCAACAAGTTGACGCGAGCACTCACTGCACTGACCAATGAGTCCGAGCGTGAGGAGCTTGAGGAGAAGGTTGAGAAGTTCAAGAGATGCTCTGTCTCGAAGATCTTGCAGAGCCACTTACAACGACTCTATGAGCGCGAGGATTGTTATCTGGACCACTTGCAGTTGGACCATATCCTCATTGACATGAAAGCGCTCCCACGGAACCCGTTCCTGGTGTTGGAGGACGATCCACTGCGCCACTTCACCATCCCACAGGACCAGGCTGGCCGTGCCGGGGTGCTGACGATGAGTGCGCTGAAGTTTGTGTGTTCGCTGCGTAAAGGTGATTTGACCGAAGATGCCACGAGAAGCGGCGAGCGCTTGACGATGAAGCCGTACTGGAATCTGTTTGGTACCACGAGGGTTCCGGAGATGAGTGGGATCAAGACCAAGACGAACACAACGTCTGATTACATCCTGATCGTGTCAAAGTCCCAGTTTTACACGCTCAAGGTTATCAATGACAGCCATGAGCTTCTGCATACTGCCGATGAACTGGCGACGATCTTCCGTCAAGTGATGGAAGAGTCGTATCACGTTGCCAACCCCAACAGATCTGCCGTTGGCTCTATCACCTCTGACTCGTACAAGAACTGGCGACACGCACGTGAGGTGTTACAGACCGAGTACAAGGATAACATGGCGAAGGTTGACTCCGCGCTGTTCGTGTTGGTACTTGACCACTCTGAGCCAGAGGACACGGATGAAGAATTGGCCAAGTGCATCTCTGTGGGCTCCATGAACATCAACGAACGCGGTGTTCAAACTGGTTCTTGTATCTCGAGATGGTATGACAAGATGCAGCTAGTTGTGACGAAAACCGCAGTTGCTGGTGTCATTTGGGACTCGTTCAGCCAGGATGGAACCACGGTGCTGAGATTTACCTCTGACATTTATGCTGATTCTGTGCTCAGATTGACCGATGGTGATTACAGCTTGTTCCCAACTGTGAAGACCCCCAAACCCGGTGCTGATAAGCCGGTGCCTGAGAAGATGGAATGGAACTTCCGTTCAGACATGATGACCTTTATCCATCTCTCAGAAACACGTTTGACAGACCTGATCTGCTCCCATACTACAAACACCGCTATCTTACACTATGGACGCCGTTTCGCAAGAAAGATGGGTGTCAAATCTGACTCCTTGATCCAAGTTGCTCTACAAATTGCACAGTACGCGTTGTACGGTAAGCCAATCTCCACCGTGGAGCCGGTCTCCACGCGTCTTTTCCGTGATTCGAGATCTGAACTTCTTGCTCTTCAGGATGAAACCATTACAAAGGCATGCCAGGTGTTTGTGAGTTCCGATTCGTCCCACAACCGTTGGATTGCCTTCAAAGAGGCGTGTCAGTTCCATCTCGAGGCACTTAACCAAGCTGCTCATGGTGACGGTTTTGAAAAGCATCTAAAGGCTCTTCAGAACGTGTACATTCAGCGTGAGGTGTTCAACCAATTGGCTCCGGAATTCAAGATCCCTGATGAGGAACCACCATTGTTGTTTGACGATGCCGTCTACCCGTTGTTTGTTCCTGAGATGATTGCCTCCAACTGCGGTAACCCAGCCATGCGTCTGTTTGGGCTGACACCAGCTATTCACAATGGGTTCGGAATTGGCTATATCATCAAGGACGATGTTACAGAGTTCTGTCTCATGTCTCAGTATCGTCAAGGCGACCGCTTCTTGTCTACTTTGGACTGGGTTTTCCACCAAATCTCTTCTATTTGGAAAGCAGAGGTTGGTGTGAAGATGGTTCCCCATGCACATGAGTTTGATAGCAAGAAAGGTGAAGAGAGTAGAAGAAGAAACTCCAGCGTCTCCCATGCTATTCAGACAGCTCCAATGTCGAGAACCACCACGCTCAGCTCAAGTGGAGAGGATGAACACCTGGCATTGGGTGGGTATGGCTACTTCGACATTGAAGACCTGACTCTGCGTTCAGTCGGGCCATCCCATGTTGCAACACCGGTGTTGTCCCATGCGAACTCCACGACAGACCTGTTGAAAATGGACAAGGGCTTTGGCAAGACCGTTCAGATGAGTCTCTCTGAGAGGCTACGTGAGGGCTTCGAGAAGCATGGCCACAATTCTGGCAGCTCTTCCAACGCTGGCTCTCTTGATGGGAACAACTTGGACAGATTCGACGCAAAATTCGACAGAGGAGAAGTTGGAAAGAGACTTGACTCCTACGATGACGAATAGCTGCGAGATATCTGTTCGCCCTATTTATACACAACGTTATACATCGTTAAATCTACTTAATATATATCTATTTATAATATAATTATAAATACATGAAGGAATGGAAACTATCACTGCTTGGTGTATATTTTCGTCATTTTTTGCGCGCCATACCGGCCCAACTAGGTAATTACGCAAATGCTTTTTTTGGCGAAAAAATCCCTGCCAAATTGCGAATTTGATTTTTTGTGACATCAAAACTTTTCAAAACAAACACACATACAACGCAATACGCTTCAACATCGGCCTCTTTCCTCCGTTGTTGGCTCGATTTGAGAGCAGAAAGCTGGCGAAATGATGTCTAAACTTCTTCCCAATGATAGGATCAAGCAAATCTCTGCGCATGCGAGAGCTAAGAAGATGGCGTGCGTTGAATGTAGACAACAGAAATCCAAGTGTGATGCCCATGAGCTTTACCCTGCGCCTTGTTCACGGTGTTCCAAGAAGAAGATCTCTTGCTCGTTGCAGTCTGACTACAAGCGTACGTACAAGAGGGCCAAGTTCCAGCAGATTGAAGAAGAGCTTGAGGAGCTGAAGAAGAATCTGAGCCAGGCTGGAGTCGACTCTCTGCTGAAGCAATTGAAAGAGCGGAAGTTCCAAGCCCATGAGCTCAACGATCCAAAGAGTGACACTGAAACGCCTCCGCCCGTCCACCAGCAGGGACATGCTTCTGAAGTACAGGCCAAAGGTACTCTCGGCGCGACGCCCCCTTCGTTCATCGGTAGTCCTGCAGATGGTGATGTTCCTGGGCCGTCCATCTTGAGAGATGCAACGCCGTTCCCATCTTCATCGGATGCGAGGGAAAGCGAAATAAAGAGTGAAACTTATGTCGAGCTGACAGATGAAATGCTCAAATGTGAACCCAAGCAATTTGGTGAAGTTGCTCTTTCCTCTGAACAGATCAGAGAGCTGTTCATCGAATTCGTTTACAAATATCACAGATATCTACCGATTGTGGACGTTTCTAAGGGCCCAGAAAGGCTGTATAGACTCAGTCCTATTCTGTTTTGGACTATCGTGTCAGTTGCTCTGCGTCATTTATCTACTGATATTCTGATGTCGTTGGCACCGCTTTTGAAATCAGCATTTGCTGAGATCACTATAAGTCCCATAACGAGATATTTACCTTCAGAATCGGATGAACCAATCTTGAACGTTTCCACTGTTCACTCAGTTCAAGCACTGTTACTGTACAGTTTCTGGCCGCCATTGACATCCTCGTTAAGTGCTGATTCCTCATGGAACACTGTCGGTATTGCTATTTTCCAAGCCATTAGAATTGGTCTCAACGGTCCAGGTACCACAAATTACCACGTTCAACAGCAACAGACAACAGAAATGGCTCAAGTACTGAATGAGCACATCAAAACGTGGATATCGTGCAACATTGTGTCACAAACCATTGCGACTGCATTCGGATACCCTGCTTTCGTCTCGTTTGACAGCTCCGTTATTGGATGTATGAGACCCGGTGCTCCTCTAAAAATGCCCAAATGTATTAAACAGATGGTGGAAATTAGTCATTTTGAAGATCAAATGGGCAAAGTTCTGAACTCGAACACCACAGACATGATGGGGTTGGCTGATGCCACCGAGAGATTACCACTGTTGAAAGTCCTGTGCCAACAACTTGATGAGCTAGAACTCAAGCTGACATCTGAAGGAATAGACGACGTTCGAAAATTCCAAATACTGGCTGCAAGAGTGCACCTCTTGACGTACTATTTCTTAGACAACTCGAGACTTGCAAACTTCGAACTTCGTCGAGGTTTAGTAAAGCTTTATAACGCTGCGTTGGCGTTGCTAAGTCATGCTGGATCAGTATCGGCACATGACCCAAAATATATCAAGTACGTTCCCGGTGTATTTGTGTTGAAGATTTGGCAGGCCTCGTGTATCGTTGCCAAGTTGATCCACTCTCCATTGAACGATGTCTTAGACGTTGGAGCTGGAAAACAACTCTACATGGTTGCCATTCAACTTGCAAGTCGTGCCTCTATCTTGAAACACGACATGGCATATCGTACCAGTGGGATAATGAGAAACATGTGGCAATTATTCAAGCTGCTCCGTGAGAAAAAGGCTTCTAATCTTGAAGTTACTATACGATCCAGAATGTCCGCGAGTGTATTCTTTGACTGTCTTTGGATGTTGAGAGAACAAGTTGGTATGGTGCGGCTGAATCCTAATAGACAAGAATCTGAAGTTTCTAATAGCAATGAGGATGATAAAGATACTGGGGAAGAAGAGGATGAATTCTCTGAGGAAGTTGAGGACGTTGCAGTTGTTGCAGATCCCGGTACCGTTGGCTCAGAAGGTTCTACCAATTCCCAAAAGAAGAGACAGAGGTCGCTGTCAAACAACTTCAACGCTGAATCCTCAGCAAGGAAGATCATCAGAACCATTCCGCTTGATCCTGCTCCGATCTCTCTGAAGAGGGATTCAGAGAGCCCAAGAGCGATGACTTCGTCGTTGAAGGATATTTTACAAAAGCAGAGTCCCGATGGAGTTTCCTCCAACAGCTCACAGAAGGAAAAGAACTCTCCATTGAATCCAAAGAATAATACCGTCATCACATCCAAAGATATGTTGCCTTCTGACAACGCATCCTGTGTTATATCACCCTCAAACGTTCCATCATTGGATCTGGCTGATGATTGGACCAGTGAGATGCTTTGGAAAGACGTTGACTCTGTTATGAACGACTTCGGTTTCAACCCTGAGGATTTGAACAAAGCTGTCGAATACGGTTACTCCTTGCAAACTGGACCACTGTATGGCAACTTTGGAAAGAAATAGCATGTGTATCTATACATGCTGTGTAATAGTAATTGATTAATAAAGGCCATAGAGGTGTTTGACGGTTGTCGTAGTAACATGTATTTGGTTTGTACACACCCTCGGTTACCCACGTGATCTCACAATTGATACCTCGTATTAACTTTTTTTTTCTGGCCCGTTTGATTCTCAGCGATTTTTCCATCAACAGCAAAAGGAAAAAAAAGCTTTAAACAGTGAGACGGAAACTTTTCACTTATTTTTGACCTTTGAACGACAGTTTAATTTCGACTAGTGAATTCAAGCGATGTCTAAAGATTTGCAAGACCAGGAGCCTTCCATTGTTATCAACGGTGATTTGCCACCTGAGGAAGAACAGGAGATGTTTGAGGAGGAATCAGACAATGAGCCAGAGCCAAGCAAGAAGACGGTGTCATTTGCTGACTTGGATGACCAGGAGGATGAGGAGGAGACGAGAAGACGTGAATTCGAAGAAGGTGGTGGTCTGCCAGAACAGCCTGACAACCCAGACTTTTCAAAGCTGACTCCTCTTTCTCCAGAGATTATAAATAGACAAGCCACCATCAACATTGGTACCATTGGTCACGTCGCCCACGGTAAGTCCACTGTTGTCAAGGCCATCTCCGGTGTCCAGACGGTCCGTTTCAAGGATGAGCTTGAGCGTAACATTACCATCAAGCTTGGTTATGCCAACGCGAAGATTTACAAGTTGGATGATCCAAACGTTGATGAGACCACATCGTACAAGTCATTCAGCTCTGACAAGGAGATCCATCCAAAGAGTGAGGTGAAGGGCTCAGATGCTCGTTACAATCTTGTTCGTCACGTTTCATTTGTCGATTGTCCGGGTCACGATATCCTCATGAGTACCATGTTGTCTGGTGCTGCTGTTATGGATGCTGCCCTCTTGCTTATTGCTGGTAACGAATCATGTCCACAACCACAAACCTCTGAGCATTTAGCTGCTATTGAAATCATGAAGCTCAAGCACGTTATCATCTTGCAGAACAAGGTGGATTTGATGCGTCCAGACTCTGCCTTGGAGCATGAGAAGTCGATTTTGAAGTTCATCAGAGGTACCATTGCCGATGGTGCTCCAATCGTTCCAATCTCTGCTCAATTGAAATACAACATTGATGCTGTCAACGAATTCATCGTCAAGACCATCCCAGTGCCACCAAGAGACTTCAGTGCCTCTCCAAGACTCATTGTGATCCGTTCTTTTGACGTTAACAAACCAGGTGCCGAAATTGACGACTTGAAAGGTGGTGTTGCTGGTGGTTCTATTTTGACCGGTGTCTTCAAACTCGGTGATGAGATCGAGATCCGTCCAGGTATTGTCACAAAGGACGACAACGGTAAGATACAATGTAAGCCAATCTTCTCAAACATTGTGTCTTTGTTTGCTGAGCACAACGATTTGAAGTTCGCTGTTCCAGGTGGTTTGATCGGTGTTGGTACCAAAGTCGATCCTACTCTTTGTAGAGCTGATAGACTTGTTGGTCAAGTCGTTGGTGCTAAGGGCCATCTTCCATCCATCTATACCGACATCGAGATCAACTACTTCTTGCTTCGTCGTTTGCTCGGTGTCAAGACAGAGGGCTCCAAGCAGGCCAAGGTTAGAAAGCTTGACACAAACGAAGTCCTCATGGTCAACATCGGCTCCACTGCTACCGGTGCCCGTGTCGTTGCTGTCAAGGCCGATATGGCTAGATTGCAGTTGACCTCTCCAGCCTGTACCGAGATCAATGAGAAGATTGCCCTTTCAAGACGTATCGAGAAGCACTGGAGATTGATCGGTTGGGCTACCATCAAGAAGGGTACCACTTTGGAGCCAATCGTGGATAATTAGATCAGTAACTGCCCACAGAGGTGATCATTTATATAATGTACATTATTACAACCACACCGTCATAACCACACCGTCATAGCCGTCCTTACGTAAGCACTCTTACGTAAGCGTACTACCCGCGAACTCGTTTGATATGCTCGAGACTCCATCAACAAATTTTATGTCCCATAGGATGCACTTCTATTCAACCTTGGAGGGCTAGTCCAGTACTCCAATTGATTCGTGATTGTGGAGAGGACATGGGTGTACACAGCCTGCCCGTTTCAAGTGATCAGCCACCTCAGAAGAAACGTCGGTTGGCTTCTGAAGATACGTCTATTCCATCGGTGTTCACCTTGTCGTCCTCGCTTGAGGCATCGAAGAACCATTATAGGAGCATCATAGTTAAGAAGGGCGATAAAGTCAGCAGGCGTATTGACACGCTGTTGAAACTGATCGCAGACCATGGTGCGGTGCTGGTGATGGCGCAGGGTAATGGGATCCAGAAGATGCTGACGATAGTGGAGATCGTCAAGAGTAAACTAGAAGGGGAGAACAAGTACGAACAGTTCAACAGATTGGACAAGTACGACACCGTTGTGAAGAAGAACGAAGTCATCGACGTGAAAAGATCCACAGCTGTGTTCTATACCCTGCTGAAAAAGGTGGATCAATTGGATGAGGAATTGAAGGAATGGACCAGACAAACGATATAAACAACCTTGGGGTATGGTTTAGATGTCTCTATTCGTTATCGCCTGGAAATCCCTCGGATCAGCCTGCACGCCTTCTTCAATACTCTTTGATATCCATGGCATAGTGACGATTCGAACCGTCTCAACCTTGGAATCACGATATTTTGCAAGTGATGATAACTGTCCTCTCATTTGTTTCACTTGTGATTCACATGCCTCATCAGAAGATACAATTACAATGTTGCAAGTCTCCAAGTCCGAGGTTACTCGTGCACCGAATCTCTGCAGTTGTAATTCCATCATCTTCTGCTCATAGGCATCGTTGGCATACACGTAGGGTTTTAACCCTCCAAAGAGTTGAACTAGCTCTATACCTCTCAGTACAGGTCCATCGATCTGTAGTTCTTCCTGTAATACTCTCCTGAGACTCCCCGGGGTGACCATCGCTGTGAAACCAATTCCAAGAGAATCAACTCTTTGGGCAGCAACCTCCTTCAGTTTGCTAGATACTAAAAGACAATGCTTTGGTAATACTTTACAGAGTTGCCTTTCTCTGATTGAATCGAATATCCAATTCACCTTAAACACGTCGTATCCTTCTTCTCTTAGATAAATCGCCTGTAACGTTTTCTTATTCCCAATGATTCTCAAGAGGGAAACATCCTCGACAAGGGCTTGGTTCTTCGTTATTGTACCCCCGTTCTTTCTAATAACGGACTCGATATCAGTGGTGAAATATTTACAACCTTCGTAAAACCCATCAGATATCACCATGAATGTTAACCCATCAAACAGACTAGACTGTCTTGAGCTCAAGGTTAAATTCCAAACTTCTTCGTCCCGGTTTTCCAATTTTCTCTTCCTTTGCAATCTTTTTCTTTGAACGTTTAACTTGTGTAAATCATCCCCAACATCCCTGCTAGAAAGCTTGATCTCTTTATACTCATCAAGTGTTGTCGCTGTTTTCCAGTCCTTATCGTCTCTAATTCTCCTACTGTATGCGTTATACAAAGTGGTTTCCACTTTATAGTTTCTCGACAGTGATCTATCGACAGATCTTGCCTTGACTTCAATGACAAAGGATTCTCTTGGATCGATCCACTCTGGAGGTATCTTTTTACCAAACTCGATCAAGTCAATCGGAGGCATGCACGTCTCGGTTGACTTCCATTTACCTCCTGTCAATTCTTCAATCTTTCTGTAATCATCCTGATCAAATCCATTAGCCACTCGACAAAAACACCAAAACAAAGGTGAATCATCAACTTTTAATCCACAGTAGTATATATCCTTTTTAGACTTTTCACGTCCAATGACAACAAGATCAACATTTTCACCAAATTGTTCTAAGTATTCAGGTTTGATTTTGACCCAAAAATCCGACCTCTTATCCATATAGTACTTACTCTGTAACTGCTTCACCATTATACCTTCCAAACCTTTGGATATCGTTGTTTCGAGTGCCTTCACAATCATGGATTCATCAGTTGCTCTAACAGAGTTTATAATTTCCACAAAGGTTTCCGTTGGTCTTAGAACTGCATTTAGGAATTCCTTTCTATGTTCCAGCGTTTTGTAAACCAAGGATGATCCATTCAAGTGCAAAATGTCAAAGACTATGAACAAAGGTCTTGCTGTAAGTCTGTCGCATTCAGTTATGTTCCCATGTATCCTTTGCAATTCCTGGACTGCTGAACTCTTCAATGCCCCAAAGGGCAATATGGCATTTCTTTCGGGGTCATAGGTGACCATTTCGCCGTCCAATACTGCTGATTGGACGTTTTCCAAGAATCTCAAGTGTGGTGAAATACAACCGCTGGTTAGTGAATCTCCATAAAGATAGGTATAATCTGTACCACGGCGGGACCAGTAGCGTATCTCTTCGCCGTAGTTGATATAGTGCATCTGGATCCTTTCGCCATCCAATTTCTCCTCGATGACGAAGTTTGACTGAAATGATTGAACCAGGTTAGCATATGAAATGTTTGGCTTCTTAGCCAGTTGCGGTGAGAATGGGAATCCCAAGTTTATGCTCAACTCTGCTTGAGATAGTCTTTTTCCAGGGTCATACAACTTATCGCACAGATGCCTCAGATCTGAAACCACCTTCAGGTAGTTTACAGCATCCGGGTGCCACATATAAAGGACTGTGTTCTCCATGTTTCTAACGATGTTCTTCTTCAGAAGGATATCCAGAAAATACCTTACTTCGACAAAGCACATGTTATCTAAGCAGTGTCTCAGTATCGTCATCTGTTCCTGCTTTTTACAATCCAGACTGGAAAGTCTGTCCAGTATCCTGTTCAATTCCTCGATAGAGATACCCCCACCTTTAACGTCTGGCCTTCTTTCACGCAGTACCTCAACACATATCTTCGACATCCTTTCACCAGTGCCTCGCTTCCAGTTGATAACTCGTTCAGTAGTTGAGGAACTCTTCGGAATCTTCAGCAATTCCAAGACTCGCTTCCCAAGGTAGTAATCCTTGATATTGTACAGTCTCTCACGGTCCTTATTCGGCATGATGAGTCTCAACGCTGGGAAGAACTGTGGTCCCACAGTTCCTCTCCAGTGCTGTATAAACACTTCAACAACTTTCCTCTTCTGCTCAGTGACGGTTAACTTGTTGTTCTCTGCATGGATTCTATCCAACTTCACAAACAATTCTTCACAGAGCCACTTGAAGCTCGGTAACGGTCCACCAAAGTTCTCCGGAGAAGGCTCCTGGTCCATCATTTATGGGCTGACCAACTACCTGTTGATGTGGAGAAACATGGTGAAGTTGTCGGAGATGTCTGGTTGTTTTTGTTTTTTTTAAGTAGGCTGCCGAGTACGTTTTTGTGTCACTTTGCATTTGTTTACATTTTCTGAAACATCATATAATGTAATATTATGGTTATAATTATAATTATCAAAAGGCAATCATAATCAATGGAGATCAAATCATGAGAGGTTTATATAGTTCGATGAGAACGCTCTTGGTCTCATCAATTTTTCGTTTATCATAAATGTTGTGGAACTGTTGTCATCGTCGTCGTCATCAATGTCCATGGGATGGGTCAGGCTTTCATATGGGTCCAGATGTGAAAGAGTGTCTGAGAGTACCAGTGTTTCCTGCTTCAGATACTCATCTAGAGAACCATTGGTCTCATATGCTCCATTTAGTAATGTTGGTGACGATAGATGCGAATGCTGCGTCTCTGTAGTCGGGTCTAATTTGGGTGTATTACAAGTAGTTGTCTTCCTGTTCCTCGTCCTCATCTTTATAGTTCTTCTCTTCTTGGTGCTGCTCACCGGAGTGGACTCCTGTTGATACTGCGGCTGTGATAACGATATCCTCTGCACAACCCCTTCCACTCCACTGGCTTTCAGCGAAAGGGTATCGTAACCTTGTGTGTTGATCCTCTGTGGAAGAGTTAAGGGCGTACAGTCCCTTTCAAACTCATCATCTTCATAGTAGCTCCGTCTCATACGTTCCAACTCCTTGAAATGATGCTCTTCCAAGTGATGTGATCTGGCAATCATCCCAGGCAGGTCCTGTTTCAGATACTCCGTGACAATGTTCAAGGCATCGGTTTTCAACATCTCAAACAAGTCATCATCCAGGAGCTCATCAATGGTGGTGTGTATCTCCAGATCAACCATCGGCTCATCGTTGAAAACCACTGTGACGTTGTCACCTTTTGTAACCACGGTGAACAGCAAATCCAGGCGTAACTTATCAATGGTGAAATCCACAGGTAAAACCGTCGAGCAGTTCGCCAATACGTAGTGAGGCTTTGTGAAATCGTCGTAGTCGATGAGATTTATCGCGTTGATCTCGATGTTGGAGCGAAGCACAACCTTCAGCTCACCACTGTATTCAAATTTGAATAACCCTTTAAACCTTTCCTCGGTTAACTCAACGATATCCAAAAGCTCAAAGACAGGCTTGGAGTCGCCCCAGAGCAGCTCTGTGATACTGACCTTATCTGGGAAGTGTGGAATCGACATATGCTCCAACATCGAGTTCACTTTGGACTTCAAGTCCAGGGAGTGCAGAGACATCCAGTCAAATAGAAAGGACATGATGATATGTTGCTGCGCCAGCAGATGCTTCCCTTTTCCAGCTCTATAATCGATGCACAACGCTACCGGGAACAGATATAACACTCCCTCTGAAATGTGCGGATTATTTGATAGTGTCTAATAGTCAAATGCCCAATAGCTGATGCTCAAGTGGATTAACAATGAGTTCCATGAGATGAGTAGTGAAGCGTATAAAATTTTGTGACAGCTTCATACGCAGAACCCGTGGCCCCGAAACAGAGAGAGGAAATTGTTGGGGGAGGGCGGTTGGGGGCGGTTGCTCCCCCCTCAGTTGCTGTGGTTACCAGCTTATGGGATTGAGGGTGTTAGGGTGTTGGAATGTTGAGATGTGCGGGTGTTGTGTAATCCTGGTTCAAGGGGCGCAAGTGCTCTACCACCATTCAAGACAGTTATCACTATATTGTGCTATATAGGTTAGATACTGTGTACTATCGTATGCTATCATCAGAAACCTCTCATAACAGCACGCTCTCTGTTGGTAGTGCTCCCATAGCATAGGTGCTCCACTAGTGATAACGGTTCTCAGTTACGTGGTGTTTGGATGTAATATGACACATTGTGGTTGCTATAAGGTTACGAGAGCAATATGGAGGCAGTATGCGCTTGCCTCCCTGTCTCTCTCTCAAATCTCTGGCTCCACAACCCTTGGAGCGTTGTATTCAGGCCATGAGTAAACCCAAACAACGTCTCTCGGGGTGGTCTTTGGTCTGAAGATATACCAAGTCTTCTTGGGTATCACCTGGTGATCCCAATGAGGTACCAACTGAGGCTTGTCGTCAACTTCAAGCATCAGTTTATCAACGTCGTGTGCGTATTTGGACTTTGAGCCCTGTTGTTGCCTGTCAACAACGCTGTTTATTGTAGGTCGACACCTCTGAGGCTTGAGCTGTCCCCAGTACGCCCGTAGCTTATCCATGGCCTGTTTCCTCGTCCATTTCTGATCAAGCTTCTTCTTGTAGTAGTCAAACCGGTCAGTAAAATTGATGTAAATGGTTTCGTACTCGTACGGCTTGGGCCCATATTTCAAGTAGACAAACACGTTGTATATAATGACACAGACGAGATAGAGGAATACCATGACAATGGAAATGAAGAAGCCATAAATCATCCAGACAGGGCTCGTATGGTTCTCAATCCACTGTATCCATGGCACAAGGAAGAACTCCCTGGCCTTTGCTGTTTCTTCTGTTTGGATATACATAGAGTCGATGTTTGCTTGTAATTGACGGAATTATGGAAACAGGGTAGACATTGGTGTGGAAACATGGTCTTACTTATAGTAAATTGGTATTTGAATTGAGTCCTTAAGTACATACGCCCTTGAGGTAATACGCTTTAAAATTTGATCGACAACGGCTGTCTCACAATTGGCTGCATTTATACCATTGCGATCATTGTGCGATTTGTAAGCCCTCCAAGGACTCAGGAAGTACTTGGTCTTCCTCCTCCTCCTCCTCCTCTTCACTCTCGTTCACTATTATGTTCCCCAATGAATCATACTTTGGCTCCCTCTCTATTATGTTCCCCAAAGAGTCATATTGCACCTCGCTGTTCTCTCCATCCTCTTCTTCTTCCTCCTCCTCCTCCTCCTCATCATCATCATCGCTACTGTATCTGCGATTAACGTTGCCCATTTCCCATATATCCTCATCTTTGTTGTGCATCTTCCTCTGCCTAACCTCCTCTTGCAACTTCTCCAGCCACTCTTCCTCCACTTTCTTTACACTCGCAGAGTCCGTGCACTGCTGGTACAACTCCAGCAGCTCCTTGTTGATCTCCAAAAACGCTAACCCCCATGAAAAGTTGCTCAGAAGGTCCTCTGCCCAGTCAACATGTCCTACAATCGCCAGGCAGGCGGCAATGGCCTCAACACAGTTCAACTTCCACGGTCTTCCGTAGTTCACCTGGTTGGCAGCTACGAGGTAGGGCAATAGCCTCTCATGTTTGCCGCCGATCTTATTGAACGGAATCTCGTCCAGCCTGGCCCACGAACACTCCACCACTGCCACTCCGTTCTGCTCAACAACCTCCAGGTCATTGGGACACACAACACCTTGTCCATTCGGTGAAACAACTATACCTTGGAACTTCTGGCCCACACGCATGTTCTTGATCAGCCCCAGCCTCTCCAGCTTCTTGCCTGAACAACGCTTTGGATCACAATGGTCAAAGTCCCACATCGCCAGCTTAGTGTGGAACTTGTCGTTCTTCGCAGTGTACTGCTTCGTCTCCGTGCGTCTGCTATGCTTACCAGCATGCTTCACAGGCTTCCCTCGGGACTCGGCGTCCTTGTTCTTGCCCTTGGCCATATTATGTCTCGTGATGGAGTCCCACTGAGCTGTGCCGTGGTTCATTCCGATGAGCATCGAATTTTTTTCCGGCCTCTTCACCTTGTCTCCCGGTACCGGGCAACAATGGAAGCTTCTGCGGCGAGGAGGTTATTACTGTTTCTTTACGCGTACTGACGCGTCGCTGTGTGTGCGGTTTGGTGGCTGCTGGCGTCGCTGGCGTAGCTGGCGTAGCTGGCGTAGCTGGCGTAGCTGTGCTGGGATTACACGCTTTTGCAGAGCAATTAGTAGTGCCGGTTCGATGATAAATAAACCATTAAATAAGTAGCTATTCAGACGTTTGAGGTGATTGTTCTGGCTAGAAGTTCCATGTTGGAAGCAGCTTGAGGTGCTTGTAGCTGTCCTTGCTGCCGGACATACCTTGATGGAACTCCCTGAAATACCAGAAGGTGAACAGTAAGAGGCCGAAACTTATGGCGTAGCCTGTGTGCTTGGTGGCGTTGCGTGAGCTCCCAACGGTCAGCTCGATCATGTAGCCGAGTACGAAGAGTGCAAAGAACAACGCTGGAGGGTAGTGATGCACATATGTGACTCTCCCCATGAGGCAGAACGGTAAAAAGTGTAGCAACCAGCCCAAGAACGGATACAGTCCCTTGGTGGTATAGTTCCAGAACGTCACATAGTCACAGTCGAGAGTCTGTCTTTGAAGCCTTATTATGTAGTACAAGGTAAGGAAGGCGAAGCTGACAACAGCCAGCGAAGAGCCCCAGGTGTTGAAGACGTTACCGATAAGGAAATATCTCAGCTTATCGTCAGTGAAACCTGACATTCTCATGCCCAGGTACAGAGTTGGCCATTGCCACCATTTCGATGCCAATTTGTCATACTTATCACTATCCGGAACCAAAGCATTGTTGGAAGCAGCCATGGCAAAGTTCACACGGATGAAGTCTTCAAAGAAATTGGAAGCCGGTGGAACGTAGTACTCATCGATGGTCAGCTTATTGTTCTTGTGGTTTTCAACGTTCCAATGCGTTGATGTGTCAAATGGATTCCCAGAAAACTTACAGACAACTTCGCCTTGTCTGGCACCCCATGTTGGGTATTGAAGGCCAGTTGAGGCCAAATAGCAGCCAAGCACAGCGTGCTTCAGTTTAAAAGTGGTGGACAACGGATGGATAACGGCTCTGTCCTCATTGGCATAAGATTGGTTCTTTGGGAACGCCTGAGAGACGATTTCGACGATCCAATCGTCTTTAAGATCTCTGATCTTATCATCTCCGTAACAAGAAACCTCATAATGCTGATAGGAAACATGTGCAGGGATCTCATGGCTGTGTAAATTTGCCCCAGTGGCCTTGTGGACAAGTCTGACTGCATCACCATCTCTAACTGGGATATGATCTGTCGAGTTGTTCAGAGTTCTCCCATCTCGACGGGCAAATTTGAAGATCCAGTTGTTATTTGCGTCGAAGAATCCATACGTTGTGACTTGCTTTTGAAGAGACCCTGATGGATACTTCTTCGTATGAGAATGTAACAGCTTTGTACTCAATCCCTTGGATCTTATCGTGACTTCTGAACCAAACACAACGTCTCGTGGTGAGCTCGAAATCTTTGTCCCTTCCAGCTGTGCCTGGAAGAGAGAGGACGCTGAGGAATCGCCTTTCCCTGTCTTATAAAGAATGGAGAAATGGATCTTGAAACAGACGGCATAGATGACAAATGGAATAAACACCAAAGTGGCTATACGCACAAGCCAGTGCTTTGAATACTTCCTCCATGAGATTCCCTTGTCAAACAGCTTCTCAGCGAGGTCCTGTATGACGAACAGGCCGTAAAGAACCGTGACGAAAAGACCAACCCACTTCACAGAGCATACACAGCCGATGGATATCCCGGAGATCACCATCCATGTGTACCATTCTTTGGAGAACTCCAAGTTTCTACGCTTCAGTTGCATGATCTTTGCCAAACTCATAAACGTTGTTGCTGTGAAGAACAGGAGGATGGAATCCAGCAGAACAAACTTACCCAGTGTTATGAAGGAGGATTCCAAGGCAACCATCAGGGTAATCAAATGAACCGTCAGCGGCTTGTATGACAGCCATCTGGCTGTCCAATACGCTGGCGGAATCACGGCGATGCTGAACAACGCGTTGAACACTCTCATTGTGACGAAATCAACCTCCTCAGGGTATTTGGAGCCTGACTTGAAGGCAAACTCAGGGTCGTGGAACCCTGCGATCCACTCACTGAGCGCAATGAGCATCTTACCGAGAGGCGGATGGACGTCGTGATAAAACGTGTGGTTCATGTAATAGGAGCCAAATCTGGCGAAATGTGCTTCGTCCCAAACAACGCTCTTAGACCAGCCTATACGGTACAGTCTGAAGTAGGCGGCGATCAACGTATACACCAGTGTGGACACCCATGGCTCCAATCTCGCGAGCAGAGCACGCTTACCACCGAATGGCTGTCCTTGTTTCTTCAAAGCGTCGCCACCATCCTCCTCTCCCTCGCCAGAGGGGTTCAGATCCACACCTTCGCCTTTAATGCTGTTCACAGTCGTCCTCTTCTTCACGTGCGAAGAGCCCACGCCGCGCTTGGACGACGAACCCGTGGACACCGCGTACATTGCAACACTATCAGCCTACAGATAGCAATACTCGCTCAACTTCTTCTGAAACAGAATCCAAAGTGCTCCAGCAACAGTATCAGCAGCTAATACTCGGCTCTCTTCCACCGTGTCTCCTTTTTTAGTTCCTTCGAGAATTGATACTGGCCCATAACTTTTGCTAGCCGTGCATGAGGCGTCCAGGTGCTCGCGTCGACTGTTCTTTGGGTATTAGGTGTCTTGGTGCGTTGGTGTGGGCCCCGGTGGGGTGTTGCTGGCTGTGGGATGGCGGTGGTGTTTGGTGGTGAAGATGAGCTGGTGGTTTACGCGATGTGGCTTGGTGGGCTATGTGTGGTTTTGGAGCGTTGTTGTGGTTACCTCACGGTGCTGAGGTTTGTTTTGATATTGATCCTTTCGTCGTTGCTGTGGTTACCTGCTTTGCGTGTTCTTTTTTTCCGTTTACGTCCGAAAGTGGTACTTTTCCTATTGCGGAAAATAGTGTGTGGTTATGAGCCCGTGATGGGCCTCCACACTCACACACACCACGCTATACAAAACACCGGAGCCTATGCCATGGGTCCCTATTCTGCTGGGAGACCCTCTTGCACCACTTAGCCTCGACCAATTCACTCGGAAAGGCCCCTTGGACGTGGATCAACAACGCCCTAAGGTGGTTGTATTACGTAAGCACTTACAATGTCGTGCGATATCCGACCGTGGTACTCCCGAGAGCGTATAGACTTATCCTCGGATCTCGCTTCGGTACTAAGCCGGTGTGGGTTTTCACTGTGCTTCCTTCACTGCCCATCTCACAGTGCTTGCTCCACCAGTCAAGGGCCCAGTGCTTGGAGAATTCACACGTCCAGGAGAGAAGATCCGAATCGTTTCAGCTGGTGCCATCATTCGGTCAGTGCCTACCGTTGCTGTTCACTGTTCCACGCTCCCTACTATATAAGACAGCATCTTGGGAACAGAGACTACTAGCGGGCTTGTAACAAAGAGAGGGCCGATGTCATCCCACCTGCCTCTTTTGCTCCATCCACTGTTGAATGCCATCTTCAACAACCCGAGCCCAGACGATTCCCCCCTGAGGGAGGTATATCCGCAGTTGCTGAACGGTTGGTCTGATGGGACGGTGATACTGATCCCACCATTGGATCTGTTGTTGAATTACACTGAGCATGAGAGCGAGGTGCCCTATAACGAACTGTGTTACTCACAGGACTTTGTCAAAGACCATGTGCTGGTGACTCAGGAGAACAAGAATGCTAAGCTGTTCAGGACTCTGAGCGATAAAGAAGTGCTCATAAAGAAGGATACCCTGTTCACAGGGAAAGGATTCAAGAAGTCGATAAGGCTGAATGTGCTGAGTTGTGAATACTTCCAGAACTTCACAGATTACTTCCCAAAGGGAAGACGGTTCATGCTCATGTACATAGACGGCACGTTGTTTGGAACACCACGCAGAACAACGTCATTTGAACTGATTTCGCCTTCTACGAGTAAGACGATGCACGTTGTTCTGTCGGAGGATTCACAGGTGAAGCACGCTCCACGAGATGATGCCAAAGCAAATGATACTGATGCCAGCAACGGCACAAGTGACCTTCAAGCAACACCAAGGTTTGAACAGCTTCTGAGAACTTTCCCCTTGATTGCAAAGAGCGTTGGGGAACAATACCAGGACTTATTCAGAACGTTTAGTGTTAGAGAGGCTCAAGACTTGGATTCCTTGATTTCACTGTTCCATGATGCCGTGGAACAGGCGTCTCTCATATTTGAGACTTTAAGTCCTGAATTGGTGCGGTTGATAATTGACGTCTCACCACATATAGATTTGAACGAATGTGTTCACAACTATGTCGAATTGAACTTGCACGACAAGATATGGAGAAGGCTCTGTGAATTATACCCTGATAGTATTGGAGATAAGTATCTTCTACTAACGAATATAAGCTTGAACCAGGTTTCATTGCCAGAGAAATTCAAGAGTGATCTCAAATTGCAGTCTATCTTGGAAAAGAAAATCACCAAGGCCATAGTTGAGTTTCAAAAACTGGAACTGACAACTGATACCTCTTCTAAAATAGAAGTGTTTGTCAATACGATAGCACTGCTATCGAAAACTGATGAGATTACGATAGATGCAGATACTTTGGTGGGGCTTTTACTCATTGTCGTTGTACAGACTGGAGTTCCGCAAATTGCAAACCATCTGCTATACGTTCAAAGTCTTTCCTACAAGGAGATAAACACTGGTATGATTGGTTATTCGTTATCTACTTTCGAAGGGTTGATCTACTACCTGAACGATCACTCCAATTTGAAATCCCTGCTGAATTATTCAGAAACCAATAAAAGGGTATTTGAATATATCGACACCAAGGAGTTGTTGAAATTGAAGCAGATTGCGGACTCCTTCAATGACGAATTTGAATCTTCCTTGAAAAGTCGCACAGTTCAGGGAGAATCCCTACTGATGCTGGCCATCCATTCTAACGACTACGATACTTGGAAACTGTTGATTGACTACGAAGAGATATTTCCATTGGAGGATATACTGGCAGATCAAACAGTCACCGACATCAATTTGTTGAATGCAGCGTTGAACTATGAAAACTTTGACATCATTGATGAAATTGTCGATATACTTCTCACGTCGTGTACCAATGATGAACTCATACGGTACTTGAACATGAAAGACACTCATCACAGGACAATTGGACACTATCTGTTCCATTACCAATCTCTCATCCCCAAATTGGGCCCTTTCATCGACTGGACAATGAAAGATTTAAATGGACAGACACCTCTATTTGCCATCTGCAGAAGCTACGATGTTACAAACTACAATGAGCTTATTGAGACCGTTTTCAAGACTATTACCAAGTGGTACGACGATAACGGGTCCGAATTTGACTATGAAGACCATGTTGATTTGCGTGGGAACACCTTGTTGCATATTTTGAACTCCAAGATTGACGTTTTATTGCAAAACAGAAGGGTCAATGTGAATGAGTCAAATAAAAAACGTCTTACACCTCTTATGGTTTATGCCAAATACAATAGGATCGATAATGTTAGAGAGATCCTCAAACAACCGTCTGTTGAAGTAAGCAAGACTGACAAGCATTTCTTCACCTGTCTTGATCACTCAAAGAATTCTGTTGTTTCCCAGTTGATTGATACTCATTACCTAAATGATACCATCCAACCAGTGGATGCAAAACAACTGGGATTGATAAGGGTCAAGCTTGAGAATAACATATGGAAAATCGTCATTAGAGCTCATTACGATGGAACTGAATACTTCATAACGCATCCCTTCAAGGACTTCAAGCACCTTGTCGAGATATTAAAGATGGAATTCCCAAATACATTCTTACCACTTGACTACAGCTTGAAGAATTTTGAGATGATTCTGAACTTTTCAAGTTTCAACAAGCTCAAGTTGAACAAGGTTATTGATGATTTGAATATATTCCTCCAAGCGTTGCTATTCAATAAGCCCATGGCAAAGAGTGATGTATTATGGGAATTCCTCACACAGAAGGAATTTGACTACCTTGAGTCAGCACAAAGGATCACTACACAGAGGCAAAAGCTGTTGAATGAGACGTGGAGTGATATCGTTCTACAGCCAGAAGAGATCAGCGAGATCAATTTCTTTCTCAAGTTCAGTGCCAAAGAGCTGATGAAGTTGAGAGGTTTATATGACAAGCTCTATAAAGTTGTTTGCTTTAAGTCAAGAAAGAGAATTGAGATCAAATATGCCATGGAACTCTTTGCAGATGCTAGCTGTGGATCAAATCGTGAACTTGAGTACCTTTGCAAGATCTTACAAGATAGCGTGAAGGAGCTCAATTTTGATGAGGAATTGTGTGATAAAGTGTTGTACCTATCCCTCTCGTGTGAGACAATGATTACTAGGATCAACGAACTGATGAACACCAAGATCTTCAGATGGTGGAAACTATACGGGGAGCTGATAGAGCTGAATAATACGTACAAGAAGTTCAAGTTTGTCGAGTTGAGGAAGACCCATGGAATTGAGCAGGCGAACGAAGTTGCTGGGCTGGTTGACGTTAATGAAGAGAGCTTCCAGGATTTGACCTCATCTACAAGCTTTGATAGCACTTTGACTAAGACGACAAAGAAACCGAAACCGGGATTCTTGACGAATTTCATAGAGTCCAAAAGGAGTAAGTTTGAAGGTAAACTCTTGACTAGTTTGAAATCGGTTAAACATGAGTTGTCAGCTTTGAATAAGGATATCAAGTTCAACCATGAAGCTATTGCTATGGAGATGAACAACTTTGTAAACTTCAAGACAGATTTCTTGAAGTTGATTATCAAGAAGTACGTGAAAAGACGGATTCAAGACACAAAGTTCTCCACATTGATGTTAGAGAGAGGGTTATCGGACGTGCGTTTATAGACATTTATCTAAGAGCAGAACGGTGGTGAATAAGATACACAGGCTGTAGTTAGAGCTGAAGTAACCAAAAATATAGAAGCCGTGAAAGTGTTAATTTCCACTGTTGTTTGCACCAGAGCCTTCACTGGAACCTGAGCCAGTACCAGCACCAGCACCAGCACCACCTTGCATGAACTGGTTGGCCAAGTTTCTGAGCATTGGATTGTTCATCAAGGAGTTCAAGTCTGGCATCTGGCCGTTTCCAGCACCAAAGTTCTGAGCCATTTGGGAAAGAGCAGGGTTGTTCATGAGGTTACTCATGAGGTTTGGATCTTGCATCATCTGCTGAGCAATTGGGCTATTGAGTATACCTTCAAGTCCGCCGGCACCACCCAACATGGAAGCCAAGCCGCCCAAATCTGGTAATCCACCAGCTCCGGCACCAGTGCTGGAGTTGGCACTGGCACTGGCACTTGGTGTAGATCTGTCAGTGGTGGAAGGCTGCTCAGGAGCAGCCACGTTCAAAGACTCCTCCACTTTCTTCTTTGCAGTTTCGTAACCTTTCTTCATAGACTCCGTTGGCTTGTCACCCTCAGATTCCATGCCCTTCTTATAAGCCTCGAGAGCGTCCTTTGGCTTCCCTAGCGCGTAGTACGCAAGCCCTAGTCTGGAGTAAGCCTTAGAGTACGATGGGTCGATGGCAATGGCAGCATTGGCATCCTCAATGGCCTTCTCGTGGTCTCTCAAAGAAGAATAGGCAGCAGCCCTGTTGGACAAGTAGATAACATTCTTAGGGGTCAGCTCAAGAGCCTCTGTGTACTTATCAACGGCGCCTTGGAAGTCCTTGCGGGCCATGGCCTTGTTACCTTCGAGCTTCAACTCGTCCGCTTTCTTCACAACTTCCTCGTCATGCTCCACGTGAACAGGAACTTGTGCCTCGCCGGCTGGCTCCTGGTCCTTGAACTCGGAGAGGATCTCCTGTAGCGATTTGCCGCGGAAGGACGTCTTCACAGTGGCAGAGTCCTCTTCTTTGTTGACTTCAAACGCATCGGCAATACAGTCGATAGCCACGTCAATGGAATCGACATAATCCTCGTTCACTTCCTTCTTCTCCACAGAGGATTTGAGAAAGTTGATGATTTGCAAAGCAGTTTCCTTTGTAGACATGGTTTGTGAGCTTTGATGAGTCCGTTCAACTGAGATCAATCGTTTAGAAGCTCAACAGGAGATGGTGGTGGTGATAGTGAACGGAGCGATGCCTGTTTTGCCTGCGTGGGTTTTGTGGAAGCTTCTGGAGAGAAAATGCACGGGTGATGAGAGTGGTGTCTGGGTGTTTTGCTGACTAAGCATATGAGTGCTGTGCAAGTTGGCAAATAGTGAGCATCTTTGTGTCATAATCTGTTCCTCGTGGCCCAATGGTCACGGCGTCTGGCTACGATTCAGTAGTTACTTCTGAAACCAGAAGATTCCAGGTTCGACTCCTGGCGGGGAAGATTATTTTTTT